TGATTGTACATTTGAAGATGATTTTTATTCAGTTTGTTCGCCCATCAACAAATTGTTCTTTAAACGCAGTTTCAAAGCATTCTTTCACCGAAAATTATATTTTAATTCAAATAGTTCCAAGCATGAAAGGTAATTAAATGTTATATTTATGTGTGAGATTGAATAGAAAGTTACTGACAGCCATTCACATTCGAAAGCTCAAGAATCTTTTCAAAAATCAGCCAAGTTTTAGAAGCGAAAAAACGTTCTCTTCAAGAAAGTAGAAACCACATACCACCCTCTATCCTCCCTCTCCCCCTTCACCCTCCCTCATCTTGATGGCTGCCAGATGATAACTGCTCTCACAGATCTATTTCTATCTACATTCTGTCATTTAAATTCAAACGATTTCATTCAAAAATTAAAGTATTGGTTTGTCTTTCATTTAGCATTCGTAACCATCTTCTTATTAGATGGTCTGCAAATGAAATTTCTTGACACATCTTAATAGCCTGAAGCTATTGGAATGAGTGAGGAATCCTTATGCATCTACTTCACAAGAAATCAAACAACTTTTCGTCTGATTTTTCATCATTCCCTCTCATTTCATTAGGATTGGTTGATATATTCGCAAATATTTCGACCACTTGAACACATCTTCAAAGGGATAATTAAGAGCTTTTCCTAGAAAGTTTAACATCTGACAAATTATTCCCTTGAAAGAGGAGATCGTTTATCATATTTGCAGCTCATGAGTTGCTCTGTTTCTGCCCTTCGGGCTTGCTCATCATCTTTCTCCATAAAACGGCATCAAATTTTTGTCAATTTGTAAACTCTCTCCTTCCAATACGTATTCGTTTTGTTTTCAAAAACTTTTATGAGAATTTATTTATTTGAAAGAGGGTATTTCATAAAACAAAATTTCATTGGAAAGTTTTCTTTTCAAATTGTGTCCTCCGCTTGAACTTGTGATATTCCAAATCTTCAAAATATATACTGAGTTTCTTCAAATATACTAACTGCTGCTGCTGACCCGCTTATCAGCTCTCCCAATTCCTCCTGGACACTTTTTTTAAACTTCTGTTTTACCAAGCTTTGTCTTATTCTTCTGCGACACACGCACACACACACATACACACACTCACATACACATACACACACTCACATACACAGATACACACATACACGCACACACATGCATACACACAAGCACACACATACACACATGCACACATACACAGAGCCAAGTTCATTCCTTTTCTAGAAAGAGGAAATTGAACCGAGGCAAAAAACAAAATTAATGAAAACTACATGAGAAAACTATGTGAGCTATCGCTCCATCATCTGTTTTCATATTTTTTTTAATTATAAATCTTTTGGAAAAGTTGTTCTCGTTGGTTTGTCCAATTAAAACGAAGAGCATTTGACACATTCCACCAACATCCGTTTCTCACCCATTCACTCTTGACCTCTCATCTCTTTTATTTATTTTTTCTCTTACAAACAGCTATTATCTTAATTCACCACCACAATGAGACAAATATTTAAATTTCATCCTATGGATAGACAGACAACATCCATTTTCCGTCAAAATCACGTACCGAGCGGTTGGTCATGGGCATATTGTTGCAGCCAAATGGCAAAACATGTTTCGAAAAAAGATAAGACTCAATTGAATTCTCTAAAATTAACCTTTCTATTCTCTTCCTCCCCTTAATTATATGTATGCATTGAAAACAGATGTATGTCCTTATTCGTGCAAAAAAAAATGTTTTTTTAAGAGATTTTGCGATAAAAATGTATCATAGTTTCTCAATTAGTTCCTCCTCAGAGAGATTCCCCTCTGTTAACATATTGTATAACAGGAAATTTTCTTGTCTTCTTATTTTGTCACCACCATCACACACACACATAAATATATTCTGACGAGAAAAAGAATTTTTTTGATGACGGGAGGAGGAAAAAAAAGAAACCTTTCTCTTCGTCTCATTTCCATCCTTATACTCTTCCTTCACAGCCATTTTTTATACTCTGCCTCTGTCTCAGTCTAATACTCCTTTTGCCTTTATTTCCTCTTTTTTTGTATTTTTTCCTCTAAAACATATTCAAGAGCTGTGTTATTGCCCAAAGCACATAATTATTTTTCTCTCTCTCAGCTTCAGAAAAAAACCATTTTTTTGTCTCTGAAAGATAATGAAAGATTGAGACGGAAGAATAAAAATCTTCTTCTTATATTCTCGTATGATTACATGTCATTATACTAGTGAAGTTGTTCTCTGTCTTATTAGTAACTCTCGAAAGCAGTACGTTCGTATCGTTCGGAACTCAAGCCGGATGTGATTACTTGATGAAACACACTTTCTTTGTTTTCTTCTCAAAAAGCCTTCCTCTCTGCCACACAAATGCTCATATTTTCCTTTTATTTTCTTTCAAAGCTTTTAGCTTGCTCAAAACATAACTTTATCGAACTGATTATGCTCTTTGAGCAATGAAATTCGATGATGCTCCTAGATTGTTGTTAAAAAAATGTTTTTAATAGTCGAACAAAGCCCAAATATGGCATTAGATTACCGAAATTTCTCTGTTTTGCTCCCACATCCGGCAAAATGTCAAAAAATTTAGCTGAGAAGTTATGACAAAGCTGGATATGGAGCTTAACGTACTTTAGACGTGGGACTTTCACCTATTTGATCCAATTCCGTCAATAATGACATAAGAAGAGTGAAATGAGGTACATTCTGGGAGGATGTCGAGTATTCTGCGGACAAGAGCGAGTGAACTTAATCATTTTCAAAACAAAGGTCAAGTCTAACCTGATTTCTTTGATGCAATTTGTAATTTAATAACGAAAAACTTTAGTTGAAAATAATTTTATTGCAAACACTATTTGTTTTTGGAATACTTTGCATGCAACCGCTCTTCGTCTGCTTTTCGTTCGAAATGGAGGATCTATTTCCCACGTGGCAGTTCACGTAGACTTCCACAATATGTAAATTTAGAACACGAAAAAAAAATTGATTGTCCAAAGTAAAATACTACTAACATGATTATACTTCTTTCATTATATGTGGAGTGACAAAAAAAGGGAAGAAGAAGTAGAATTTGATACAAATGAAGAAAAGATTCATTCTTTCAACTAATTTACTCACTAAAATGTACAAGAGCGCTGAGCTTTTACCACACTCGAGATTGGACTCAGAGCCAAGTTTTGAAATGTTTGGAGTAGTCTCACATTGTCTTTCTTCTTTCTATCTTATTTTCTTTGTTAAGTCACATTCATATTCTGTAAACGTACGCAAGACAGAATATACAATCATACAAAATGAGGGAGAAGGAGTGAAAGCGAAAAAAATCTAAACGAAAATTACAAAATACCATTTTCAGTTAGAATCGTTGATCATCGAAAATAAAAGAATACTATATATAGAAATCTTCATCACTATTATTTTTTTGTCCTCATCAATCATGGATATTTGATTCCTAAGTATATTGCCTATTATAATTATTCTTTACTTGAACGACGCTTTTGTCACGAAAATGAAAAACTGTACCAAGTTTCAATTATAAAAATGTTTTTCAAATAAACCTTTCATCTTTTGAGAAAGTGCTCTATGAGGTTTTTTTTTGTTTTCATTCCCACTCAGCTCATTTCGTTTTGTCCGAACAACTATTTCTTATCTCTCGTCTCACGAACCCAGTCGAGGTAATCAGATGACAATTTTAGGGCATCAAAGTTTCAAAGTCTTAGCTCTTCCTATAAACATCTATTAAGTTCCTCGTTTCTATTCCATCTAGAATTTTATCAGACTCATTTGAGTATATTTGTGTGAGAAAAAAAGTTAAGAGAGGCTCACGAGAGAAAAAGGCTTTCGGAGAAGATTCAGCACGTAATTGAACCTTGGTTCATGGCGACTAACCCATTTAAAACAAAAAAAAACATAGTTGCTCTAGTGAAACAAAGAAGATGAAAAGAGAAAGAGAATGCGGAGGAGAAGGTAAAGACTTCTAATCAAAAACGAAATGAATGCCTGAATAAGGCAGTTTTCTCTTGACTCTTTAAACACTGATGATCATGCTGTTACACTTGGCTTTGGACTATTCATTCGAGTTCCGTTGATCAACTTCCTCCAACCTATTCTCTCTCTTTTTTTTTGGATTTTCTCGAGCCTTTCTTTTTTTCCTCATTATGTCTGCATGAAGTGGGCGAAGCATCTAGTACTCACGTCATTTCTTCGTAGTTATCTTATTTTCATTAATTTCCAATCTCATAATTTGAATTTAGTCATCGTGTACCTTCAGATGTCATCGACAGAAGTCTTCTATTCTTCTCTTACTTCATTCAACAACGGCATCTTCTTATCTGTCTGTTCCATACGTTTTACTCTATTCTCTTCAGTTTCTTCTCTCTTTCCCTATTTTCATAACCTCATATGAATTATAAAAATTCACGTAAGGAACGTGTCAGAATCGATTCGTCCACCTAATTTTTTTTTCTTCCTCCCTTCATTCATCTTATCTTTTATTCATTCAAATACTGGGATGATCAAAGAAGATCTTTGAAGATCATAGCTTTCATTTTCATTTTATTTTTTATTCTGTTTATCTTCTAGAATCGATATTCTAATCCTTCGAAACATGCAAGTATATGTTGTAGGGTCTTTCATTATATATATCTTTAGAATGTTCTGAACAGTTTTTAAATATATTTTGGCCATCTCACCTCACCAATTATTTCAAATGAAAAATACTGTTAACATTATAATTTCGTTATTTTTATGGTGAAGGAAACTTTTCAAAATCAAAAACCACCATATCTGCATTAATGCATTGCATGCTCTCCTCGTGTTAAAATCATACTTTTTCCGAGAAACTTTATGCAATTATAAAATAATCGTTTTTATTATATTTCTACTCATTGTTGTTGACAAAAAACATTTTGTCTCTACATTCCTTGCTGTGTGAATTACTCGTCGTCTTTCTTTTTTTTTAATATTTCAACTTCAGTTTTCACCTAATAAGAGATGGATGAAGATTCGATGTACTACGACGATGAGAATGGAACAAGTTGCGAATATCTGGTTCGTGATTAACATATTCTGAGATAGCACATATAAACATCTTCAACTTTTAAGGGGACAGAGTTCATTGAAGGAAAAATATACTTAATAGGAGTTTTTGCAACGATGATTGCCATCTTATCCATAGTCTTCAACACCTTCTTCACCATTGTGTTCTTAAGCAACAGATCCATAAGGTAATAGACTTATCATTACAACTTCACCAATTATCAATCATTGCAGAAAATCTTCTGTATTTTATTTTGGAATTCTAGCTGTTCTGGATACTATTATGGCTTTTAACTATTTGGCTGTTATGTCGCTCCCGGTAAACAAAATAATAAATGAAGCCCAATATTATTTAAAACATCAACCGTTCGGTGCTCTGAATGAAGCCAAAATAAAACGTTCAAAGAAATGAAAGCCCACGTGGATCTTTCCACGTATGTAAATTCGAAAACACATGCTAATTACTGTTTCCTGATGCAATTAGTTGACAAATATTTTCAGGTTTACATGGATTATTATCAATATGTACCTGTTTATCACGTCTTTTTGTCGTATTTTCGATTAATACTGACGGAATCTAATTGGGCTATATTCTCATCTATGCTTCTGATTCTCCTCGCAACAACAGAAAGATTACTCCGAACATTTGATGGAGAGAAAGTTCTTAAACTGCGACGGTATGAGTCATGCTCTTTGATGCTTTTCACGGAAAGTTACTTCCAGTTTTCTGGAACGTCATCGCCCTTCCGTTAGTCTACTTTGCATTTTGATTGCCGTTCCATATAAAGCGTGTGTGTATTGGGAAATATCAGTTAGTTACAAGCCACATTGTGAAAGCGAATTTAGGTATTTCAAAGGGGACTAACTATTATTAAAACTAATTTTTTAGTAAATATGAGATAGTTGCTGGACCGTTCGCTCTGATCCCAGAGTATAACTTCTGGTGGATGTTCATTACTCGCAATGTAGTCGATCGCATTCTGCCATTTTTCCTTTTGGTTGCAATGAATTATACCATCTTCATGGTTTTTGCGATTTATGATTATTTTCATAGATTATCCTTTTTTCAGACCCTTAAGAAAGATTACAAAAGAAGTGATGGCAAAAGCAGCATCCATGAAAAGAATGGGATATCTCTTGCTACAAACAGAAGAAGCCTAAGGGTTTGTCACGATATATAACAAATGAGTCACCTTAATTAGTTCAGGACGCAACCAGAGCCCTCATAAGCATCGTTTCCATGTATTTAATGTCCCAATTTCCGCAGGTAATTTGCGTTTGCGAGAATTAGTTAAGGCAGAGTGAACATCTGTTCCCACAAAATTGCGTATTATGACGGAAACGATCCTGGCTAATGCTTCCCACATTAATTACAGAATTATTAAAGAGCCTTATAAGGTCGAGATATTGCAGGTCTTACTCACATTCTGGGAGACATTTGATAAGGAAAGCCTGGTTCAGCTCAATGAATTCTACTCATACCTCAATGACATTCTCAGTATTTTGACATTACTCTCAAGGTAATCCTCAGTAGTGTATAACAGAAACATGGAAATTCAGTTGCCTTCGTTTCCCCGTTTACTGCTCGTGTAATCACCTGATTTATACATCATCCAAGGATACTTTGTCAGAAATTTCCCGAATGTTTCTCCAAGAAGACAAAACAACAAAAGGTTTGGGAGTAGCATTGCTTTCCTAGAAATTTCCAAATTTTCCAGTTTATGAGCCGATCTCATCAACGGAGAAGAATTGCTCCTCCATTATTGATAAAAACACTCAATCCTCTGAGAGTGAGCTGACTAAAGTTCCCGGTGTTATTTACAACGACAAGCTTAATGAATGGCAGTTATGAGAATATCAAAATAACTTTAATTAGCTTCTTCGTATCTGCTCTTTCGAACCAATTCATTGGTCATTTCATTCATCTTGATGCCCATGCTGTTTATGTTCTATTATCATGACGGGTATCGTTGCTTTTCGTTTCAAGATTTGCAAATAAGAAAATAAAGACTGTTTTTTTTAAATATTAATGTACAATAGATCAGATAGTAGTCAGATCATCAATTGTTTTACCGTATTTCTTGTTGGGAACGAATGGTTCCCACCGGGATGCAGGATAGATATGCTTGTTCTTTTCATACCAACTTCGCATCACTACCTTGACAAGAGATAAGTTCATTAACATATGAAAAGTCATTTCTCACTTTTGCTGGATGTGATTCTCCGTAATCGAGAGCAGCGTCTTGTCGAACTCTGACTTCTCCAACAGCATCAAACTCATACAAAGGACCTGTCTTACCCATTGCTTTGGTGACAATGAAATCTTGAAAACTTGAAAAACTAAAATAAACAACAATGATAAGATAAATCTGACGTGTAGAAGTGTGGAATGATCAAATCTTCCTTAACAAACATCAAGCTTTCTGGGATACAGGTCTTCAACTCAGTGAATTCCTTTTTAAGTGCCTGAACTCTTCTTGTTAAATTGAATAAGATGGATATTAAGGAACTTACATCAATCGCTTTACCTAAAAATTGAGAAATCGTATTTCCTTTTTTCATTCTCATAGTTTTTCTCAAATGTGATGATCAAAGAAAGGTTAAGATAATAGTAACCTACCTATGACTAGATCCGTCCCAATAAGCATAAGCAACATTTATTTCTTCGTTTTTCTCCTTTTCTTGTTGGGCTCTCCATTCAGCAGCTAACTCATCCTTCTTCCTAAAAGTTAAAACTGTTTCTCAAGCCGAACTGTAACAAAGAAACTTTGCTAATTCTAATTCTCGGTCTCTATCAGGAAGGAAACTAGTGTCGATGTTAGGGTTCATCCCTAACCTCTGAAATATAAGTTACGTATATCATATTACAGGACTGTATCACCTTTTTAGGTTTTATTACAGGTTCTTCTTCCTCTTCCTCCTCTTCATCATCATCGGCGAAAGAAAGAACTCTTTTCTAAATAGAAAAAATAACTCCAAATTCGAAAAGGAAAAACCTGCGTAAATCTTTTATCGGGTGAAGAGGAAGTTGCTTCCTTTTTCTTGAGGAGCGTACCACGGACTATTGAGATTTCTCTGTATATCACATGGTTACCATTAAGTTCACTCTATCTTTAACCTTGTTGCAATGGCATCTTTTTGCTGTTCCTTCATTTCATCCAATGTTACCAATCCAACAGTCTTATTCTTCAATGCATCTTCGATAGCATCATAGTTTGCCGTGAATTTCGATGAAATACCAGCAGCGCCTGAAGGTACACTGAATTCACAACTCTCATATTTCTGATATCCAAACCTTTTATGGCTTCTTCTTCTATTTTTTTCTTCTGCTGTTCAATGTCTTCCTTCGCCCGTTCTCTCTGTTTTGACAGGTGAATCAGCCGTCCTGAATCAGCCCGGGACATTCTGAAATAATTAATGTTTCGCAATCTCCATATTTATACGATAAGCAATTTACGCAATACCACGAACAGTTCGGAATCACAATTCAACTCAGCAAGGATTGAGGATAGATTTGACCGTTTTAGATTTATTCTAATTGATCAGAATAGAAGCACCGCTTCCGGTACGCAATGATTCTTTGGAAGACCATATATATTCTACTAACCTTATGATAATTTTGCAAAAAGCTTTGATAGTAACATAATTGATTGCAACCAAACTTCAAAAAGTTTAATGTATTTTCACCCCCTCATTGCATAGATCACAGGAAATAGTCGGAAAGATTCAAACTATAGTCCGCGCACATCTAGAAATTTCTGAGCGCCCAGAAAATTCTACGCGCCGCCCTTAGAGGCTCCCAGCCAATAAGAATTGCTGGCTCCGCCCAACTTCGAGAATATTCCGGGGGCCTCCATAGGCCTAACGAATTTCATTCCAACATGCTCAGTGTTAAAGACAGGTTTCGAATACACTTTCGCTCTAAACAGTAGTTATATATTGGCCTAAATTTTTTTTTCATCTATTACTTTTTGGTAGCGATGTATCTTCATTTTATCCTTTGTCGCCGTTCCGCTCGCTTGTGTCTTGTATTTGTTTACATTGCTATTTATTTTTTTTTTTACAGAAATGTCTAGCGGTGAAACTTTCGCATTCCAAGCTGAGATTGCTCAGTTGATGAGCTTGATCATCAACACATTCTACAGCAACAAAGAAATTTTCCTCAGAGAATTAATCTCTAACGCTTCTGATGCCTTGGATAAGATCAGATACCAGGTAACCATTTCACTTGAACATCTTTATGTAATAATCAATTCAGGCTCTTACTGAGCCTTCTGAGCTCGACTCTGGAAAGGAACTCTACATCAAGTTGACTCCAAACAAGAATGACAAGACTCTCACCCTTATGGATACCGGTATCGGTATGACCAAGGCTGATCTCGTTAACAACTTGGGTACCATTGCTAAGTCTGGTACCAAGGCTTTCATGGAGGCCCTTCAGGTATTTTAGAAAATGTCATGCGTGAATTAATTATTATTATTCAGGCCGGAGCCGATATCTCTATGATCGGTCAATTCGGAGTCGGTTTCTACTCTGCCTTCCTTGTCGCCGACAAGGTTGTTGTTACTTCCAAGAACAACGATGATGATTGCCATCAATGGGAATCTAGCGCTGGAGGTTCTTTCGTCATCAGGTATGCTAATATCAAAGTTTCATCAAATTCGTCGTGTTTACAGAACCATCAACGACCCCGAGATGACTCGCGGAACCAAGATCGTTCTCCACATGAAGGAAGACCAAATCGAATACCTTGAGGAGCGCCGCATCAAGGAGATCGTCAAGAAGCACTCTCAATTCATTGGATATCCCATCAAGCTCCTCGTCGAGAAGGAACGCGACAGAGAAGTATCTGATGATGAAGCTGAAGAAGAGGTTGAAGAGGTAATTATCAGCTTTTGAATTTTTTTTGAACATTTCGGTTTTAGAAGAAGGAAGGTGAGGTCGAGAATGTTGGTGAAGATGAGGATGCTGACAAGAAAGACAAGAAGAAGAAGAAGATCAAAGAGAAATACCTCGAAGACGAAGAGCTTAACAAGACCAAGCCAATCTGGACTCGCAACCCAGACGATATTTCCAACGAGGAATACGCCGAGTTCTACAAGGTAACATAACCTAATTAAGCACCTCATTATTTATTCCAATTCAGAGCTTGTCCAATGACTGGGAAGACCACCTTGCCGTCAAGCACTTCTCCGTTGAAGGTCAACTCGAATTCCGTGCCCTTCTCTTCGTTCCACAACGTGCTCCTTTCGATCTCTTCGAGAACAAGAAGAGCAAGAACTCCATCAAGTTGTACGTTAGACGTGTCTTCATCATGGAGAACTGTGAAGAACTCATGCCTGAGTACCTCAACTTCGTCAGAGGAGTCGTCGATTCTGAAGATCTCCCACTTAACATCTCTCGTGAAATGCTCCAACAAAGCAAGATCTTGAAGGTGTGGTGTTGTTCATACTAGCTCTCTAAATGTGATACTTTCAGGTCATCAGAAAGAACCTCGTCAAGAAATGCATGGAGCTCTTCGACGAAATCGCCGAGGACAAGGATAACTTCAAGAAATTCTACGAGCAATTCGGAAAGAACCTCAAGCTCGGTATCCACGAGGACTCTACTAACCGCAAGAAGCTCTCTGACTTCCTCCGCTACCAATCTTCTTCTAGCGAAGAAAGCACTTCCCTTAAGGATTACGTTTCTCGCATGAAGGAGAACCAAACTCAAATCTACTACATCACCGGAGAAAACAAGGACTGTGTTGCCAACTCCGCCTTCGTTGAGCGTGTTCGTTCTCGTGGATTCGAAGTCCTTTACATGACTGACCCCATCGATGAGTACTGCGTCCAACAGCTCAAGGAGTATGAAGGAAAGAAGCTCGTCTCTGTTACCAAGGAAGGACTTGAGCTCCCAGAATCTGAGGAAGACAAGAAGAAGTTCGAGGAAGATAAGGTCAACTTCGAGACTCTCTGCGCTACTATCAAGGATATCCTTGACAAGAAGGTCGAGAAAGTCGTTGTTTCCAACAGACTCGTTTCTTCCCCATGCTGTATCGTTACCTCCGAATACGGATGGTCCGCTAACATGGAGCGTATCATGAAGGCTCAAGCTCTTCGTGACTCTTCCACCATGGGATACATGGCCGCCAAGAAGCACCTTGAAATTAACCCAGATCACGCTATCATGAAGTAAGCTATCAAATCTGAAGACCATTAATTATTTTGTTTTGCAGGGCTCTCCGCGAGCGCGTTGAAGTAGATAAGAATGATAAGACTGTTAAGGATCTTGTTGTCCTTCTCTTCGAGACTGCTCTCTTGTCTTCTGGATTCACCCTTGATGAGCCTCAATCTCATGCCACCAGAATTTACCGTATGATCAAGCTTGGACTTGACATCGACGATGGAGATGAGGAACCATCCACCAGCAACACTGCTTCTGCTAGCGTACCAGTTGTTCCAGGAGCTGACGAGGAGATGTCCAGAATGGAAGAAGTTGACTAATTTATTTCATAATAGCTTTTCTACTATGTGATCTCTCCAAATTAATCGCCACTCCTCTACATGTTGAAACTTTTTTATCGACGTTTTGTTTTGTTTTAGCGAATAAATAATTTTTTAACCATATGCTGAATCAATATCTTGACCCAAACTGAAGATCGGTTGCAATGGTTGCTATAGTAACCATGTGCTAGCATTATGCTTTCAAGCGCAGAGGTTCGCTCTCATTACTAAAGCTTGCTTCCAGTATTTGGTCCTATAATGGATGTCCCTCATGATCCTGTTCAAAGACCTGTAAGGGAGGTGAGACCGATGAGGAAGTCTATAACAGTTCAAAAAAAGGTAGTCCTTTCATTTTTTAACTTAGACCCAGTAAACTTTCAGATTAAAAGTAAAAGTGAACAAAAACCTGAAAATGTTAAAAATTTTTCCAAAGAACTACAATCTCGAATTGATCTGTTTACATCCTACAGAAGAAAGGTACTTTATGTTATCTATGTCCTCAAATCGTACTTCGGAGAATAAAGAAACAGAGATGAATGGTCTTTGCAATATGACTTTCGTTCTTATAGGGTCCTAGAAATCAATCGTCTCTTCCTCAGAATGTTGTCTGTGAGCAACTGTGCCAGGTACACCCGTTCACATTTTGCATGGTTTATTTCTGATTAGATTGAGGAGCGTAAACTGTATGAAATTTTACGTTCGGAATATGAAAAGGACAAAAAAGCTCGTATAATACTTGAAAAGAAGATTAATAGCTTGAAGACAAAGCAGGCAGAACAGCTCTCGGTATAAGCCTCATGAGGTCTTTCATTGTTAAATAATATATTATGCAGGATCTTCGCCAAAAAATGCTTCTCTTAACATTAAACACTAGTTCTCATCGTCCTAATGCCTCACAAACTGACCCATTGTTGAGTCATTCAGAAAAACATGTTGAAAGCAAGGATACGCAAACAATCGAAATTTATACTCCAGATATGGTAATCTATTTTATACATTTTGAACCGTGTAAATGCTGACGTTGCCACTCTCAGTGAGTATGATTCAATTGCTTATATCATCCAAAATTTTACAACAAAGCAACTGTTGTTCGAGAATATTCCAGCCTAGGAGTTTTTAATGTTTTCTACAACAGTGGGAACGAGGTTTATAAATTTATATACTATCGGGGCAAAGTCTAACTATTGATGAACGGACTTTACTTGATTTGCATAAACTATGCGTCGGTCAATGTAAAGTTCATACAGTTCATTTTGAACTTCATTGTTGAGTATGCCGGTCGCTTCGCTGTGTACTAAATGATGAGCATGTATTAGAATGATTTGGGAATTTTCAGGCTAGCTCTGTGATGAGACAAGCGAAAGATGATCTTCTTACTGCTTTTGTAACCGAACTACAAAAAGCTAAATCAAACGCTGAATGTGATTTACGTTTCACAGTTGCAAGTTTAGAACAAAGGCTGGCAATGGATAAGGACTTTGAGGTTTCATTCAGCTTGATGGTCATACTATCCTGATATTAACACTTCAGATTCGAAAATTAGAAGCTATTAATGAAAGAAAACTCATTGAACAGGAGTCGAATCACGAGAATGAAGTTCAGAAATTGAAATATCAGAATTCCGTTGAAATACAAGATTTACAAGGGAAAATAGACTATTTACAAGTTTGTTCATTAATTTTCTTTCATTATTGTCTTAAAGCATTGTCAAAGCAGTTCTATGAAAAAGTTTACTTTCGGCAATCAAACATTCCGTTATTTGTTGTAATCAAACGCTGACAGGAGATGTGTTCTCTGTTATACGATTTCCCAAAAAAAAAGATTTTTTGTATTTCTTTCAGTCGGAACTGAACTCCGTTCGCGAAACCAATGAGGAGCTGGTCAGAGAGTTGCAAGACACACGAGATCGTGTTACGGGCCAATCAAAATCATATTCTCGGTTGCAAATTCAACTGGAGGATACAATAAAGGAGATGAATAAATTGAAGGAATACAAGGAAACGTATCAGGTGGGGACATAAATAGAATGATAGGTCACAGGTTATGGAAACATGAAGCATGTATTGTCTAATCCAAAAAGACGGAACTCTTTTCACAGTGATTTGTTTCAGTTTTTTTTAATATCCCATCTTGCAAGACATGATTGATGAAAAAAGTATAAAATTACGGAAAACATAGAGTTCTTGTTTCAGAGAGATATGAGACATGTGGAACGCTACCAAAAAGAAGCAGCTAAATATAAAGATATCAACCAGATTATCCTTGGTGAATTTGCTATGGTTAGTTAATTTACGATGGAAGTTGTCTATATTTCCGCTGTTTTGAACTAGCGTCTTTTCCCTTTCTATTGATAGGGGAGAAAATCTCAATTGTTGCGATAACTTGAGAAAATTTTAGCTTGAGAAAGAACGTGACGCTCTGGTGGCTCAACTTGAACGTGGAGTGGCGCAGATGGAGAGGCTGAATGGTCAACGCTATTTGGATTTAAGAAATCGAACCGATGAAATTGAACGAACTTTATTAGGAACATATGAGAAATCAAAGAAAAACGATAAATAATATGAAAAAATTTAACAATCTATACTTCTATTTTGATTATATCAGTTGTATACAAATGAGTGAATGAGTTGAAGTAACAACTCCTTAATCTGAGCTCTGAACGAGTGAGGAACCAAATAAAGGATTAAACAGCATTAATACACTGTGTTAATGAGAAGAGAAACAACAAAAGTTGAGATTGCGCTCGCTATCAGGGGAAACGCAGGATGTCTTATGAGAACTTCATCAACTACTGCAAGACTACTCGTTTTATACAAACACCTCAAAAGGTCATCAGATATAATAATTATCACAAAAAGATAGGAACTCGAGCAAGAGGACAAGAAGAAAAAAGATTTGAGGACTCGAAGAATAGAGGGATTATTGAAAGCTGTGAGCAAAAATCAACTCACATCAAACCATTGCTTGGTGAGTCTATAACAGTTGAGCAAATTAGGTGTGCAAATTCGAAAAAAAAATAATCCGTAATCTACCGGCATGACTATGTATACCAGCTCTAGACACTTGGGCTTCTAACGGAAACTATATAAAATAAAAATCTATCTATGAGCTTCTAAAATACTGAGCTAACTATGCGTATCAGTCATCTATATTATTAAACTAAGGATTGCTTCTAGGGTGATTAGAAAAGAGCAATTTTTGGATCGATGTCCAATTCTTGCAACAACTTTTCTGCTAAGAATCTGTCTATATTGAAAGGTTGGAAATCAGCAGGAACCTAGAAAACCTCTTGTTAATTGATCAAATTCTCCAAGCCCTACCGTATTAACATCACGGACAGAATAAGTGACAATCTTCGGGTCCAGTTCACCAGCTGAAGTTTCACGAAATGCTCGCCATGCTGAATTAAACATTTCAATATATTTCTCAAAATTTCAAAATCTTCTACAGCATCCCTATCGAAAGAAAGGTCATTATTCAAACGCAAGTCTATGAAACAATGTAGATGACGTTATTTCGGACACAGAGAACGTTCAAAAACGATGCATCACATCTCCCCTCTCCAAAAAAAAAGGCAAAGTTTAAAGTGAAGTCGCATGTGTGTTTGGGTGATATGAAAGAATTCTATGAGCTATAATCTCCCAAACATCACTAGATTATCACGCAAGTTCCTTCCCAATTTTTTGAAATCTAAACAAAACTCTTCTAGAGCTCTGCTTTCCGAAGAAAAACATTTACAGTGAAGCGATTATAGAATTAGATAGATAGGATTGGTAAAGAGAGAAAGGTTGACAGAAGAAAGAGGAAGCGGAATGAAGATGATGAGAGAGTTAAAGACAGAAAAAAGGAAGAGGACAAGTGGCGTAGCCCGAAGAACACACAACCTGGCAGAACCAACAGTCACCAAACCCTCAACCACTCGAAGTCATTAATGACATTTAACCAACCGGAGTGCCTTCGCTTTATCCCCCTGTAAGCAGTGTCAAATGCAAACGACTGAAACAGTTCAACAGGAGCAGAACAGAAGCCAAAGACTAGATTGACTTTCGGTATATAATCGCCTCTCATATCTTCCGCACTATTGCAATAGAGTAGATATTATTTTTTCTATCCTTGTCATTTGATCTGAGACGATGAACAGAAACAACCAGGATGAGTGCGACAACGCTTTGTAACTTTCCGCGTAGATGCTAACGGCTGCACCCATACTCCGGAAAATGTCGGCTTGCGACATAAGAAAACAGAAGTGCAACCGCTTAGAGTGAGCCAAAAAAACAAAATGATTGAGAATTAGCATACGAGATCATCAAACGATCAGCTCAATGATGAAAGGTGAGTTTATTACAACATCGTAGTGAACCGAAATTTCTAAAAACAACATGTGATCGAAACTTCTCTGATCATTGATAAAAAAATAAAATACGGACCAGTTCCAAAGGTTAAAATTTGAATTTTTCAAGAACCAATGTGGGAACGTCTAATGATCTTAAGTTCTTTTGATTTCTCCCCGTCTTATATCAACATTCGTTCCGCTATCTTGTCATTTTACATATGATTTACTCGTTAGAGTGAAATCAACGACAGAAGACCAATCTATAAGCGATAACCATATCACCTACGCCATCTCTTGACAAATCAGACTCCCCGAAATAACTAGTCAACACACGTGTGGTCAATGATGTTTAGTCAAAAATCATGATATTCCAAATTGCGAAATCATTCTTATTTTCTTTGTGCAGCTTAACATTCACAATTAGGAAGGTTATGTTTCTTCTGAACACAAGGCTACGACCTTTGCTGTTGGTACAAACTACTCCCAGGACAGATGATGAGCAAACACAGAGCTTCGTTGAAGGCTTCCAAATAATAACTCGCGAACACTCAGGTGATTACTCGGGGAAGCGTGAGAGGGTTAAGCAGTCTAACAGAGATAGGAAGAGACTTAGAGAAGAAGAAGACAACTCAATATTAACCAGAAGAAATAACATCCGGTTAAACCCTCATTCTTAAGAACAGAGAGGAATAAGGATGTAGACCACCCATTTGCCAAAAAATGAAGATTTTTATTACTTCTCATCTGTGAACTAATCTCATTTCTTTCTTTTCTTATGTGCTTTCCGATGCTCCTCACGTTTCTCACAGGAAACAAGAAGTAGAAGAAGTGATGAGAAGCTGAGAAGGAAGAGTCTAGCTAAAAAAATTTTCTCTACGCGAGCAAACTGTGTAATATTTTGCTTCTATGTTGGAGAGAGAAACTGAAGAATCGAGAGAAACAATGATAGGTTGACAATGCTTAGGCACAGAAGACGAACCCTGGACGACGATTGTTATCAACGGTGATAATCATTTGAACTTATTTTGCAAAAAAAATCAATAACAACTGCTCATAAAAGGATAAGAAAAAGAAAAACTAACAGTTATGTAAAAACTCGATTTGCTGCTCGAGTAGAGGTGAAGATGGAGACGAAGGTGTAGACGGTGGAGTCAGCGTGTTAATGTTATTTCGATTCTTTTTTGGAAACATCGACATTTGTCTGTAACAGAAAAACTTTAACAGATATTTCCAGAGCTTTTTTTACATATCAGGGAAAACAGTCTCATTTGCTGGCACATTTGCTACTGAAAAGATCGGACTATTGTAACTAAGACAAGGGACAAACTTACAAAGAAGTCGATCTTCGGTTTTCATACATGTTTGATTCTGAATAGGACTAGTGTAAACTGTTCGTCTTTTATGTTGTATGGAAGGTAAGACAGTTCTGGATACTGCTGAGTGACCGGCTTTATACATTCCAAATGGAAGTTAAGCACAAACTTATGTACAGACTCACCTCTAAGTCTATAAAAAAATGTATAACACACACATCAAATCTTGAAAAGAGAAACGATAAAAAGGACAATTAACGAATAGTGAAGAACAAAAACCAATGAAGAATCATAATTAGATAAGTAGTAAAAACAAAACATACATCCCCCACAGCGAAGTTATGTTCGAAAAAAATATTTACAATGGAATCATATTCGAAAACTGGATCCACTAAATTCAAATTTATTAATAGAGCATACTTGCACAATAGTAGATCTATGCTAATTTCCACGTGGAGTAGTAAGCAAAACACGTGTGGATTAACACACACGTAAAATCAATCTATCAGAAAATTAAAAACTCCACTAACTGACAGAGGATGGACTCTTACCCATCTTCTCCGACAGCAATTGAGAGCGCGAAGGGGCGGTGCCTCACAGAAGAACGAGCTAGCAGCTATTCAACGTAAAAATAGTGCAGTTGGGCGTTATATCATGACCAGACGTACGGATCGGTATGCATTCAGAAGTGTTGTTTTGATTTTTCTATGCAAATCAGAACGAGTTTGAGAAAATTAAAATGTTTAATAACAAAGAAATATTTTAATATCACTCATGTAACGTTTTTTTTATAAGAAAAGTGTAGAAATGTACGATATTCTTTCTGTCACAATTAAAACCCAATTATGTGTGAATTATCTATGCTTCAACTATACAAGAACGTGCTCTAAACGAAAATAGAAAATAGAACGACCAGATTTCGGAAAACCATCCCATAACCTTAGTTAATTTAAAACGAATAAGTTAATTTTTGAAAATTTCTAGCTGACAAGAGAATCTGCAAGGTTTTTGTTCAGAAAAAACAAAAGTAAGGCACATAAAAATAAATTAATAAAGTTATTTTGGCATTTTCAACAATGCTTCGTAGTCAACATCGCCGTCCATAGTTAAGGGCACGTCGGAAGAACCACCTTTAGCCATACCCATTTTATCCATAGCCAAACGAGCAAAATCATATTTGCCATACTCGAAGCTAGTTGCGCCACTGAAATAATTACGTATGTATATAAGGATGGAATCGAATTTGCAGTCAACGGCAAGCGAATCGGTCACACAACACACACACACACACACACACACACTCTCTTGAAACAAGTAAAGACAATAAAGAACAACAGTTCACAACTCAAATATCATGCAATCACACCACTACGCCTACCATGGGTTTTGCTCTCACTGGCGAAATCTGTGAACTAAATGGAAAATTCAAGAAATTTCAGTAACCTCAGACTTTGAAATAGAAAAAAGAAAACTAATTTACCTGGTCAACCACCACATAATAAACGGTTGTGAGATGGCAATAAATAAAATGAGGATCAACTTTCTCTTCCGGCCATCATCACCTCCGAAATGATTGCTATCAAAAATAAAGTTCTTAACAGTTTGCAACTGAAAGTACATGATTAAAAATAAACTGAGATTCAAACGAACCAAGAAGAAAACCAAAGCAAAAGCTGTGTATCCCAATGTGCAATAATACAAAGTCTTTCCTCCAGTCATGAAGACAATTAAGCATGCGATCATTCTGAATAACATACTTTATAACTTCGTTCAAGTAACTGCTTGACTTACCCTACAAACTTATAAGTACTGAAGGATAGTGAATGCCATAACGTTAAAGACTGAAAGAAAGAGTTGCAGAGTGAACTAGAGAAACATTCTCACCTGAGAAATGTTCAAAATGTACTTGCTCACAAAAACAACAATATTCTCTAATATCACCCAGATGAATGCATTACTAGTCAGGATTCCAAGCATTTCAGGAGAAAACCTAATTGCAAACATTATGTAAGAGTTGACTTTTGACAATATTACCTTCCTTGTGTTCCCAAAACAAATCCCGAAACGAGCACATAAGTAATGAAAGCCATAATGGGAATGTAGAGATCAGGAGCATTAACATCTTCTTTAGCGGGAACTGGCCCATCACCTCCACAGTGTCGAGGAGCCCATTCCTAAAAAAGCGTGTGATGCGATTAAATAATTAACGCAAAGCTAACCCTGTGAAGGAAGGGGAACAACAATATAGCTAATTTCTTTCCGACATAAGTGTTATCAACAGAGAAATAATATTTCAAATTGAAGCCAGTTATATATTTCGTTAACTGAAAAGATATGGTAAGAGATATAGAATAATGTTTGCTTAACTTTTTCTTTTTGTTGTTCGGCGAATTGACCACCAAACTGTTGAGCTGCTGCTAACATTGGGTCAGACATGAACTGTTGGCCAGGGAATCCAAAAGCTACATAATATATCATGTTACTGATGAGTAAAGAAATCAACTCACAGTTTCCTCCCATATTATTCTGCGGAGCAGGTGCAGGTTGTTGGAAGTTTCCATAAGCTTGCGTTTGTCCATATGGGTTCTGTGCAGGCTGTTGTGACTGTTGTGGCTGCTGTGGCTGTTGTTGCTGACTTTGATAAAAGTCGTCATTCCAACCATTGTTAGTATATCTTAAAACACGGAAAGTATTCAAATTATCATGAGCTAACTAACCCTGTAGATTGTTGGTTATACTGATTGTTGTTCCATTGGGTATCACCCCAGCCGTTCCCCCAATCGTTCGACATCCTGAAGTTAACATGTAAGTATGTTTCAGTTCATAGATAGTTCTTTTAGAAATTCATTCTATTTTTATGTAAATTTGAGCTTAAAAAGGAATGGTTATTCAAAATACAGTTGACGTGTAGACGAAAATGAAAAAAGTCTACAACATCACAAATACGCAACACGTATATTCATTTTACCGTATGCGAAAAAAAGATATATTGTATCCAAGCTTCAAATTTCTTCGTTGAAAACCAAATAATAAATTATTGCCGCAAAATAATTTTTGTAAGAAAATAATTGGATTGCTCAATTAAACTAATAGTGTATAACACATGCTTAATGAGGTTTTTGATCTATTAAAGAAGGATTAAAAAATGAAACAAACTTACTGCACAAACATTTTCGGGCTTATATGAGTTTAAACTTGCAATGCAACAGCTGTGAATGTAATTGATTGAGTCAGGTCATCTATTTGTAGCCGAGGATAGTTTAGTTGAAGACGAATATAAACACACATTCTTACATCTTTCTATTTTCAACTGATGAACGTTATTATGACGATTTCAGAAAGCAATAGCTTATTTTTCCTTTTCCATTTTTTTTTGTTTTTGCTGAGAACAGAACTATCAGAGGATGTTCTGAAGAGCTATCACCCGCGTAATCATGTACCGTCGAGTGAGAAGAAATTCATTTGTTGCGTAAACGACTAGGAATCAGAAATTTATTAACAAAGCAGAAAAATGTAACAATTTAGACACTAAGCCGAATCTACAAATACATGACTTGAGAGGAATCATTAGGTTTGAGTTAAAGTGTTCAAGAGAACATATCGAACCGAACAGCCTTTGATCAACACTATGTATGAGCACCAATGACAGCTTCATCAGAAATCAAAAAAAAAACAGATTTTCGAATTTGTCATCGCGAGATGGACGATGTCCCGACCAGGTGTTAACCCGCTCATATCCAATTCATGGATAGAGCAGGATAAAGTTAGCAAACAGACTTTAATAAAGAATCTACTCGCTATACAATAATAGTTTGCTAACTTGCAATTGAGCAAAACCGACTTCGAGACGTCGGCCACTCGCCAGCTGACATGTAAACTTTAGGTTATCTGATTGCGGCTCATTATGAATAGTTTTCAGACTATAAAAGTCTCTTTGGAAAAAAAAAGATTATATCTCAGTTCAGATTGAATCCCGTCTAGGTATATATGCGAGGTTAAAACTAGTTGAGACTTCGACTAAATTCATAGGGAGAAATTGGTGTTGAAATGCGTGTTGCAAGGTGTTAAGCTGGAAAATAAGTCAATAGTGAAAATTAGAGAAAAATCCAAAATATAACTAGCGTTCAAATATCTGAGGTAAAACCAATGACAAATATATAACAGAAGATGAGTAACGTTCGAGATAAGCATTAGCCTATAGCTCTGAACAAACTCAAATTCAGTTATCCTGAGAGGAATAGGATGTAAATGCTGATGATGGACTCACTGATCCTGCAGCGGTAGCGTCCAAACGGTTCTGAATTATAACTGTCACGAGCTTTTTTCAACTTTTGACTTACTCTTAACATTTTGTCGAAATCAAGGGTTGGACGACATAAACGGCTTCGTTTGACTGGCTCATGATTTTCCAAATGAGTATCGGAAGTTTCCGCACAAAACGATCTTTCGACTTCTCGAGGAGGACGATTAACAAGCAATCGAACAGGGCAACGTCGAACAGCTATATTCCGTGGGCGTTCTAAGAGCAAATGGAATGAGAAAAGCGTTTTTTGAAAGAAAAAACCTTTCACGGAGTTGACAGGAAGAGCTTGAGGGGTACTGGCTCCTTCACCACGGTCTGCATGACGTCTTTTCTCACCAACCATAAACATTGGAGGGAATTCACATTGTTGCTGAATCAATAACATTTACATCAATAAAGAAAGTCGAGGATTAGAACATTTTTTTCAAATCGAATTAGCTTCAAAGCAACATCAAAAATAAAGCAGATCCCAAGAAAATTAAGATCCACAACTGCCAAATTCACTTATGTCATACTCAGAAATGCGACTTTCAAAGTACGAGTATACTTAGTTTCTATTCGGTTCCGAACGAAAAATTTGTCTTTTTCAAACCATTCTGGTCACAATGAACAGAAGGTTTTGAGAGACAGTAACTGGAATCAATACACTTTTCCAGTAGTACTAGAGAGAGTATAGTATTTATAGGTTCATAAAACGAAATTTGTGACTGGCTCTATTCTCTCAGCTTTTATTTTCCGAAAAAAGGTAAGTAAATCTTATAACGAGATTAGTTGGTTCCAAGAAAGAGCTTGATTGCAAATTAAAACTAATATAAAAAAGGATTCGGAAAAATTCACTCAAAAGTAATCTACTTTCGTTCCAATCTCATAGAATCAGAAATGGCATTGGTGAGGAGGTTCCTCGCTTAGCAATCAATATAAGCTTCTCATGGCAATATGTTATGCCCATAGTTTTTTTTGTCGGCTAATGATCAAACAACCAACCTTGCTTATCCCCGATGTAGGATTGAGAATCATACGCCTCCGTCTGGAAGGAAATATAGATTAGTAATGATTAAAACACAAATCCCAAGATAAGAAATGCGCTTTGAAGATAACTTACTGTTTAGGAGTTGTTGGATCTTCCTCAGAGTCAGAGCCAGAACCATCCCCAGTCAAAATTCCTGATTCTTTACCAATGCTATCCCAACTGAAAAAGTGAACTTTGAGGAATCTTCGTTGTCCTTCGTGTTTTTAGCAAACGATTCGTAACGTATATTCATTCAGAGATCCTTTCATGTTGAACTTGACAACAAAATTCAGCATTTGCTTTCTATTTCAGTCTAATTGGTTATGCTCACAATAGAGGATAGATATTAAGTAATAGAAATATACTCGTATCTAAAGAAACGTATATTCCTCATGAGCGATAAAAAGCTTTTTTTTTTATGAAGAAGCTTAATTGAAAGAATGAAAAACATTCATTGAATGCAACCGATCTGTTCGTCTTCATTATATGTAATGAGCTCAAGATAAGCAGGGAATATGATGGTTGGGAATTTCAGAGCTAGTATTTCATGGAAATAAAAATATCTTATATAAGACGCATTATTTTCAAAGCCTGAGCAGAACGTGAACTAGCATCGTAATTATTTGTGGTGTAGAAACCATGAATAGAATAGCTTATTTTAAGGTGAAAAACGAGATTCATCACTGCGAATACACAGAAAATCCCCCTTTTCTTATGAAGCAAATTAGCCTTACATTCTTTGAGAAACAGTTGTAGGGTGGAGTGTGAAAAACATAACGAGGTTGCAATATTTATTTCAGGGGCTAACGAATATTCAGTAAACCAGGATCGTTTGTCAAATGCTGATGGTTAGCGTTGAGGATGTGCAGAAAATAAGCAAAATTTTTCTGAGGATAGATGAATCTTCATCAATATCAACTACCCGTTAACTGCGACAATCGTTCAACCAGTAGCATAAGAAACACCAGTAAACATGCTGTTTTGCAAGACAAATTATCATAGAAAGACATCAGAGCGTTGGATAAATTATATGGAAACTGCTTGAATAACACCAATTCTAAACTCTGTCAATCAATGCCAAGACAAGTCTCTGATTTGGATTCCTTTTTAGCCTACTACAAAGAATAGGAACAATAATCAGGAGCTTATTTAGAATCTTCTAAACTCTTAGCGCTTACAAACTCCATTTCTACGAACAATAAAGAAGGGAAACTAACCTGACATCATCTATTTCGGCTGTTGGAGGTATATCCGATAACTCAGGTGGCCTACCATGACCACTCAAAAAATCTTCATAATCCTTCTGGTATTGTATGGCATCTGAGAATAGAACAATAAGATTCGTACAAATTGAACAGAATTAATGATGTCATAAAACTCACTTCCGATCATTTCTAGCTCTTCATCTGATTCGGTTCCTGAGTCATTGAGATAGCCCTGAAAACAACTCGGTTAGAACAAAAATAGTAAAACTCCATACGTAAGGTAATTGTGTTGTTATGGATCTATTAGCAAGGCTAACATGACTTGTTCTCTGTTCGTCATCGGAAATAGCTTGCTTTCGAAGGTTTTCAACTAGCTGTTGCATCATGATGATCCTTTACCCGTATAAAAGGAGGTTGTTTAAATCGTGAGATTATATTTGATTTCGTAGTTGATATAAGCAGAATGTCCTACTCAGCTACCCAGCATTGATCTGCATAAAGAAACATTTAGGAAGTATATGAAAATCAAGAAGAGAAGCATCAAAGAAAAACGATATATCATAAAACAAACAAACACAGATTAGAATGAACGACAAAATGCTTGCGAATATCGATGTTAGTAGAAGAACAGCAGCACGAAGAAAAAAAAATAGAGTAGTTAAGAGCCTCGCAATGTTGTGACTTAGGGAAAGCAAATACATATTGAATTGTAGAGAAGTCACTAGTTGGTATTATAAAAAACAAGCTCGGAGTAGATTTGATAACAAAGGTGAAGGTGATCCCTCAGCATTTGATTTGCTTTTGACAGAAACAAAGCGTTGTTTTTCACCTTTCCCACAAATCTATTAAAGATGAAACAATTGTTTGGAATATGAGAATAATAATACCCACTAATGTTTTACATTCAGCAACTCTTCGAAATATCCCGACCTGTTTTCAAGGAGAAAAAAGTTATGAAAGCTCAATCTTATAGCTCTCCTTTGTAGGGACAATATACCGTCGCATCCTATTGAAGGACGAGAACAGAAGAACAGGATAGAGCAAAAGAACAAAGGATTTAGATTGAAAAGAATAGCAGAAGTAAGACTGTAAAAGAAGGAGAGTTAAAGAAAAATAGAAACAAAAGAAATATGAAGAAACCGACGTCTATTACAATTCTAATGCTGCTTCTCATGTATTGTTGGTAGATACTTCGTATTTTGTTTAAAATCTCTCGGCTCATGAGTATAGCTTGGAAACGTTTTGCAACTCGAGAAACAGCTTCAGTTTTTTCTTTCAATCAGCTACATATTTCGATTCAGAAACCTACTACAACCCTAGTGAAAGATGCGCACGACCCTATACTCCTGATACCATCAGGGAAGAAAATTTTCTCTTATAGCTCTTACTGTCCAGCAGAGCAGTTTACACCATCAAGCGGTCTTATTGCGAAACAACAAAAACGAATTCCATTTCTTCCCATTTTGCAGGGGTATGTATATTCGATACCTGTTCGGCCATTATACTGTGACAATCTGGTCTTCAAAGACTCATTAACGATCAATGGTTCGAAATAGATGGTCAAGAGAAATAACGAGTGCACATCAATTCTCAGAATAAACAACGCAATTCCATAACCGTCATAGTTACCACATCCAGTTGAAAGAAATAATTTCAGAAACGCCACCTCAACTCATGTCTCACCAGAGAGAAGACCCATGAAGTGGATAATTTTGCGTCGATTCATTCGCTTCTATACTACCTATTTCTATACAAGACTCTAATAACAGAGGAGGCTAGACCTTTAGTTTCATAGAGAATTGATTTCTGCAAAGATGAAATATAAGTAACGAACTAAATTCAAGAGAAAGAGCGCACATGGAAAGCAGCCGGAGAATGTAGGAAGGCTGAAATGAAATAGTGAACTGCATTACAACTTCTTCACACGAAATTAAGAAGCTGCAAAACAGGAACAACATATGATTCAATAACTTTCAATTAAAGATTGAAAAAAAGACGCGATAACTACTCTTTCATGCATTCATTTGAATTCTTGTATTAATTAGCATATGGAGTCTTTTACGCAAACAAACAACACAACCGTTTATGCTAATTAGTATCGACTGATCTCAGATGAAACATAAAATCTTGGAGAAAGCCTATCCAACTCGAATCTAAAAAGATGTCCATCTGACGAAATGGCAACTAGTAGTTGTTGTAAAACGCAGACTTTCGATTGATTAAGGGTCAATCACAAGTTCTCGCTGTAAGCTTTTATAAAACAAACTTTGTCTTCATCCTGCACAAATCATAAAGTAACCCGTTGGCCGAAGAGTCCCAAACTACCAAACATACACACACCCACAGACCGCAGTCAGTCGCTTTATCGCTGCTCTTTTTCTCTGGTTCTCCAGTAGAAAACATTGTTTTGCGAAGTCTATGTTATCCTTGTAGCATAAACACAATGCAATACAACACAGACATTCTCAAATATATATATAAATCCTCTTCACAATAACCTAAAATGTCAAAATAATATCTGAACCACCTAACATTAACCAAACTACGAGCGTGACGAAACTTAATAGAAACGTTGCTAGTTTTCAAACAAAATTCCCATTATGAACAGTAGGAAACGGTGTATATTTACAACACAGTTCCAACTATTTCATGATGCACTATAAAGGGAAAATAAAAGAGAAAAGATGAGGAATGAGACGAACAGGCTCACTCACCACGCGGACGAATGGGGCTGTAGGCTGTGGAAAGGGGAGGCAGACAACACTGCGTCTCTGTCAAGTCTCCGACTCTCTTTGGCTGTTTCTAGCAAACTACTGAAGGGCCATCTTCATCTATTAAATTGATATTTTTATCATAACTTTCTCTAAATTAAATCAGCAGTGCAGAATAGCCCTACAGGCTATAAAACGTCTACCCCGAGGCCTTACTATTCGGGAATTAAATCAGAAGGCCTTGAGATGGAAGAGAAGAAAAAATTGGCGCAGTTCCAGAGCAAACGGCTTCTCAATTTTACAGTTGGTCTTTTTATAGTTGCTTCCTCTCTTCTCCTCTTCTAACAAAACTCCAAGAAGATTCGGCCGCTTTTACTTTTCTGTTTTTTTTACATTTTCTAACGGAAATTGTCCGACTTTGATCATCGTCTGCGATATTTTATGAAAAAGGAATCAGTCGTTGACAGATTTCTCTAATGAACTCTCTCACAGAAACAGACAATTCAGATTTTTTGCCCTTATTTAGTAATGCAAAAGTTTAGATATACTATTGCCAAGTTCGGAAAGCTTTTCTACTAAAGCATTGTTCAATTATTCAAGTTATAGCATGTCTTTCTTCACTAGGACTCACCAAACTACGGCGACGATAGTCGTAGGGAGAAATTGAAAAACCAGTTGACGACTGGCCAATCCACAATACCCATATCTGGCAAACAGCCAATAGTTTTTATCGAGAATAGTGTAGAATCACAGACAGAAAAGTGTCGGGTTTGGTTTATTTGATTAGCTGAAAACATTTGAAAGTTTTAAATCAGAAGTTGGAAAGGAAAACAAAGAATAGGAAGATATGAAAACAGAGCGTATGATATGATATCTAGCCAAATGGGGTAAACAAGACAATGCCTGCAGGCCTTTCCATTTGATTATTCAGGAATATGAGAGAGAGGTTATCTCTGAGTCGAGGGGTTTTCATGAAAGTTGCTGCGTCGCTGTCGGTCGAATGTTGTAATTTATGACATACATCCCATTAGCCAGATATGATTTACGTAAAACTATGGACTTATATGGACAAATTTAAACCAAAATAAATAATTCAAAAGCTGTCTTTCCTACGCATCTCATTAAGTATCGGAGATCCGCAGTTACTGTAAGACAAGACATAGACAGAGTGTTAACAGCTAAGGCGATTGAGAAGGGGTTCTGTCAAAGCAGATCTTAAACAGGCATAATGAATATGGAGGAAAGGACCCTAGTTAATAAAGATACATGTGCTTCCATATTTGGCTGCTCGACAGCTATTACGCTCAGAAATCAATGTCACTTCTTCGTCGGCAGGGTAATTCGATCCTAGCTAAACGGGCTCGCCAAGGGACGGAAGTGTAAGTGAAAAAAATAGAAAAGTGAACAATTGCTGTTTAAGGAAAGTATATGGGTCATAATGTAGACCTGGTTGTTGGCAAGAAAGTGCTGAATAATTGATCGCCGAAGGCTGACTAAAACGCTGACTTGTTGCTGGCAAATATATTTTCTTATTAAAAAAGAAATGCCGAACATGACAGGAAGGTGAAAGAAGAAAGAAACTTATAGAAATAATATTATGAAACCGTCCTCATAACATACCTTACGTACTGAACTACATGATTAGCTTAGAAGATTTTCTCTACTATACGCGTATCTTCATCAGACTCTGCAGTTTTATCTGTTGATAGGGGGTTGTTCATGATCAATCGTGGCCTGTTTATATAGAATAGCGTCTGGCCATCTTCCAAACTGGCAGCTTGCCTAGTTCTGGCGTAAGGCCAATGCTCTCGGCTATTGGCGACAAGCCAATTCTATCTCTCTATCTCTTCAATTTTCTCTCTAGTTTCTCACTAGATCGTGGTCTTTCTAGCTAGCTGAGAAGAAATTATTCTGACAGTTGGCAGAGTTCCAATGAACTTAAATGTACGAAATTAATAAAAATAATATAATCCAACTGTACTAGGGGTTCATGCTGAAACATCTAGGCAGCTTTCCAATTTCCAATTAAAGAAGGTCATTCACAATTCTGATCACGATACTAGCTGACACATTTTGTGAAGTAGCGCATGAAAAAGTAAGTTAGTTTCGTACAAATTGACTTGGTGTTTTCTTCTTTTCTTACGGAAGCGTTATTTAAGCCAAAAACTATGCTAATAGAAGCATTACAAAGCTTGCTGACTATCTATTGAGAGAAAACTGGCTGAAATGAAATATCTTTGTAAAAGTTCCATTTAGTTGTTTGACATTTAAACCTACACGAACTTCAAAGCATACTTTCCACTCGTTGTCAAGTCTGAAAGAAAATAAATAGAATACGATAATACTGGAACACAACCGTTCTCCACCAATGCACTCGAAAAAATAATGTTCAGTTGTCAGCAACTTCTGTGCGTCAATCATAACTCAGAATTTTCCCTAATGTCCAATGGCTCATTTTTCAAAAAAACATTTTGTTTCTTGGAAATAGTTCAGTAGCGAAACTTCCGCTTGTGTTACCATGGCGTTCCAATCATCCTCAATGAAATCAGAACAACTGCTCCCCCATTACCGAGCAACTCATTATAGATAAAATCATCTCGTACATGTCAAGAAATTTGTATTATAATAGCAGAGACAACATAATCTTTGCATTCCGTCGACATATTCCATCATAAGCAGAAGCCGGTGAACAATTGTGAATACAAAGTACTGAGATATTCTTGAGACGTTATTGCAAAGATTATCAGCCATTCCGTCTCAACCAAAATTAAAAAAGCGTGGGATATAAAAGATGTGTGTAGAGTTACTTTTTGGTAAATAAAAGAGAGTATTGAACAAGTTCCTCCGCATGGCATATTTATACTTCGTTTTCATTCTGCTCAACCAACCAAAACATTGAATTTGTGATCTGGTTATCTTAATTGAAGTAGTTTCTGTTCAATCATGACATGAATTTTGATTATGAAGTTGATTTATTTTGTGGTATTTAATGGTTTTTTGTTGGAAAAATAAATGCCGAGTTGCCAGATGTTGGGAAAGCAGGGAATTTGGAAGTTAAACACATTGTTTTGCCACATTTTGATAAGACTGCTTTGGTGGGACGGGAGACACTTCATCCAGCACTCTCGGAGTTTTACTCAGACTTTGAAAGGTTTTGCTTGTTGAATATTTCAGTTTTTTGAGGAGGAAGATGAAAGAGAGCCGTTTTACCAAATGAAGTGAAAAAAAAGTGAAAGAATGAGAGAGAAAGTAGGTGATTGTTAAGCTGAAAAGATAGAAGATTTGTGGGCGATATTGAAGAATTTCTCATCTGACATCAATGGTTCGACGATATCGATTCAAATGACTGTTAACAAGACACGATTCCAGGAAATTTTTAGAGCGTGTACTCTTGATAAAATTTTAGAGATAAATGGTGGTAATGTATTGAGCACGATGTATTCTTATCATTAATCTTTCTATTCCGTTTGTACGCTATGCAAAGGGCTTTATCTGTTTAGCAAAAGTCTCTTTTTGCTTTTTCTTCTAACAACATGCACAACGTTATTTCAGAATGTTCTGGGTTCTCCTTTTGGCCATAGGTATTTCCCTTTTCGTCTTATTCTATTTGTCAAGCGTGGTTCGGTACTACTGCAAAATCACATTTTTCTACATAACCATATTTCTACACGGAATTCTATGTCACATTTTGATGATACCTTCGTTTATAAGACAAGATGTAAGTCATTTTTCTCCTGTTTTCTTCGATTACATCGATCGATATCCATTTTCTAAGGCTTTAAAGCAAATAATTATTGAAGGGAGCCGATGTTATATTCCATTCGTTCCGTTACTGGTGCCTGTGGACAGGAATCGAAGTAGAAGTTAGAGGGTTTGATGAACACTTGAAGAACATTAAAGGTCCAGCTGTGGTGATTTGCAACCATCAGGTTTCTCCAGAGAACTCTCCCCAATAACTTTCAAGTTTTAGAGTGCTGTAGATGTCGTGGCTATGACCCATGTTTGGCCACCCAGAGGGGTTGTAATGATGAAAAGTTCTTTGAAATATATACCTTTCTTCAATACTTGCAGTTTAATGGTTAGTTCCATTATAGTCTTGAATTTCCATGTCGTGAGGCTTTTCCGTAAACACAAGAAAATTGACTTCTTTTGCTTGTATTCATAAAAGATATTAATGGGATCTTTCTCTCGGGACATCTTTTTCAACAATTTTCACTTTCCTCTTTATTCTCACATGATTTACTCATCAAATGAATTTGAAAGAGGGGTGTGATACGGTCATGGGAGTGAAGTTGGGAGATGTCATAACTAGAAAGTTATTCTGACCCGACTAGGACAAAATATTTGACTAAACCAATTATTCCATTTATAGTAGGATTTTTGAAAAAAAATTCACCTGGGTTGTGTTGACTGATATTTCTTATGAGTGTTTTTGAAGATCTTCTGTACAAGTGTGTGTAGAAGATCTGCGAATCACCTTCTTTTTGAATATCTGGCTAACTGGGTTTGTTCTCACAGTGAGTGCAAGTGTCAACAGTTCCGAAATAATGGGGAGAGAGAGAACAAGTTTTGAGCAACTAAAGATACTCTCTCTGTTTCTTGAAATTGTTAAAGGGGTTTTCTTTGATATTGTTTTTTTTTTCAGGCAAACTGTATTTTCATCAATCGTTTCAACCGTCAACAGGCTATGAGCACCGTTGATCAATGTGTCGAGAAACTTACAGAGAAAAACCTGAAGGTAGTAACCAGACGCATACAATGTTATCTTGTCTTATTCAGTTATGGATATTCCCAGAAGGAACTAGAAATCCTGAGGGAGGTTTATTGAGCTTTAAGAAAGGTGCTTTCAACATTGCTGTCAAGGTTTCTCTTTCAAACCAGCAGTCATATTATGTTCGCATTCCAGGCTCAAATCCCAATTATACCTATTGTAACTTCTAACTATAAGTCTTTCTATTCCAAGAAAGACAAATATTTTCTTGGTGACGGAGAGATAATTGCTGAAGTTTTACCACCGATTGACACAAAAGGAGTCTGTTATATCCCGTAATTATCAAGAGAAATAACAAAATTTCAGAAAACAGAGGAAGACGTTTTAGAGTTGGCGGAGGTGATCCGGAAGGATATGCTTGCTGTTAACTTAAGAATAAGCGAGGAAGCAACTAAAAGAATTGAGAGCAAAAGAGCGAAGAAGATGGCTTAAGAAGCAAACCCCATTCTCCTGTGATTGATTTTAATTTTAACTTTATACCAAATACTTTTGTTTTATTCATTGTGATATCCTTGTTCCATTTCTATCGAGTATGCCACGCATATCTATTTCTTACACGAGTACGTTTAAAAAACTTTTATAACAACGAATTCAACAAAACAATAAATTTACTTTTACTTTTACTTCAGTTTTGTTCTTCTGTTTCTTCTGTTTCTTCTCCTTCCTCTTGTTCTTCTGCCAAAGTGTCCAATTCACCATAATTTTCAACCTATAAGTACGTTATTAAGGTGGCACGTCAGAGAAAAACAACCGCTTCACGAGCCAGGAATTCAAAAATGGAACTTACCTTCATATCATTCAAGCCCAACTCCTCCTTCTGTTCATAGCTTCGTTCATAGAATTCTTTCTTAAGTCTTGGATCTTCTAGTGGGGCTGTTAAACTCTTAAGAGACATTTTCAATCCGCTACAATTCATAACTCAAACCTGAATATAACTGTTACCAGCTGGATCATCCAGAACGACAGTTATTCTTCGTTTCAATTGGAGAACCTGAATAACTAATTGAACTAACGGATATACGAAGATAACAAGCCTCGTCGAACTGTTGCAAGAATATATCAATTTTTTTTCTTTCCTCATTTTCAGCACTATCTCCCATGAAGAAAGCCGATTGCTGAAGAAAACATGAGCATACACTTGTTATTTAAACTCCGTGATTACCGAAGAAAGTTGATCTCGAGTAGCAGATAAGAGTCCTTCGACGGTTGTAAATCTACCACAGAGAGCTCCTGGCCCAACCTAAAGATACCGATGCAAATTGCAACAAGCGAATTTTACACCTCCAAATCTAATTCTGGAATGGATAAACTACATGTGTCAGACTTCAGAACATCACGAGCAAGATCTTCTTCCTAAAGTATCGTCATGTAATCTTTTCTGAGTACCAACTAACCTCAGCAATAGTAACAGATAATCGACATCCTTCATCTTTTATTGAACCGGCACTTTTAACTTCTGTTGATTTGTGTCCACAATGTTCACACGTAAGAGCCATGATAATCACCATTTGGAAAAACGGAATATCTATAGAGTTTAAATAATATTGTTAAATTCGAATGTTTTACTTGTTGGTTTCATCAACTCTTCTGTTGGCTTTCCACAGTTAGGACAATCGGTTTTGAAATGCAAAACTTCCTGAGTTGCATCTTCTGGTGACTTCCACTCTGGTGCTGGCTCATCTTCTCTGTAACGGAATACAATTGGTATAGGAATAAAACTACTATTACGTTTCGTCATCATCCACGAGACCCAACAGTTTCTTCTCATCCAAGTTGCGATGATAATGAGAAATGATGCAACGAGGATCTACATGTCTTGGGTCGGGGTTTTGGATGAAACAGTTTCCAGTAGGATCATGCAACTTCTGAAACACGAAACGAACACAATTCAGAACTGTGTGAATCATTACCAATGTCCACTTTTCGGTTAAATCAGACAGTTTCGTCAAACGCTTCAGAAACTCATCAATTTTCTCTGCACTTTCAGGGTCGAGCTCTCGTCTTCTATCCTGCTCTTGGGCAAGCCCAAGTTGAACACGTTGAAGAATACTCTCAACCGTTGTAACCTCTGTAATAATAATTGGTTGATAAGATTGTTTTGAGCAACAAACAAAACCTGCTGGTTGACTTCGAGGTGGAATAACCAATTCTATTTCTGGAATTTCAATTGAAGCGACATCCGATTTTACTAGCTGCCTCCTCAAATCAGCGGGTTCATGAACTCTAAGGACGATTTCAGTTCCATGCTCCTACAACCAAGTTAAGTAAAGAAGGTAAATAACTTAAAAACAACTTGAACAGCTTCTCCACTCTGGATTTCATTATTTCTATAGCCACAATGAGGGCACTCGAAGGACATCAGGATAACTGCTTTATAGTAAGGAATCCTCACACACATCAAGCGAGTAATTCCCTAAATAGAAATCAAAATAGAAACTGAATAGATTGAATCAAATACATTATCTTCACAACTCATGCACATAGATTCCACTTCCATCGGAGCTGCTTCATAATCATCAGCATTTAAGGAGCGGAATATCTAAACAGAAACTTCCGAAAAGGAAAAATTCGGGAACGAACGTCTTCTGAATTTCCAGCCATAGTGTGTAGATCGAAGCTTCTGAACGCTGTATGAAACCTGGTAAATACATGGTGTCATGTACAGTTATGCTGTTCGAACAGTTTTGAATAAACTGCGGATTTACATGTATTCATTTATTATAAACACAACAGACAACCATGAAGATCAGACAAGTCGAGAAAATGATGAAAAGGTACATAAATTATAATGGAAATTTTTACAAGGTCACAAACAATAATAAAAAACAACTAGCTACTGGAAGGTCTAGAACTTGAAGTCTTTATGCTTTTTACCAGACTCTTGCGTTTTAGTAGTTTGTTTTTTCTGCTCTTGGGCTTTTCTCTTTCTCTGGAAAAAATGTTATTTGAAAAAAGTCAAGAAACGAAAAAGTTACGTTTTGTTTGGCAGTATGCTCAGCGACCATATCTGTTAGATCTTCAGAGTCATCAGGACGTGTTTGCTTTCTCAATTGCTCTTCATATTTCTCTTGGAGAACACCTTGGTCTAAATCCATAGCTTCGGGATCCAGAGCCACGACAATTCCATTCTCATTAACAGCTTGTTTCTTCTGTAAAGAAATACTTGCATTCGTCCTCAGAGAACTGTGACCGTACCGTAAGATCATAAACGTGAGTAGAAGCCATCATTTGGCCTCCGACGCGATCAACCTTACGTTCAGGAATAATGTGATAGGCTGCAGCAGGAGCTGTTGGAAGAGCAGGAGTATCGACACCAGTTAAGCTAGAAATAGCAATATAGACATACGCTGAAAGAAAGTCTGAAATACCCTTCATCTCGTTTCTCCTTTCTCAACTCGATGGATTCTGGAGTCTCGAGTCCTGTGACGCTAGTGCTTATTCCACTTGGAGTCACCAGTCCTGTTTCAGTCAATGGAGTTGCAATGCCGTCAACTGTAATGAACAATATGAACTACTGAGTAGGACGGAAAAAACTATACCCTTAGTTGGCTCATCATCTTCGTCATCATCAGGTTCGCTCTCAACATCGGAATCAACATCTGATCCAATCTCACCCCAATGTCTTCGTTCAATACGAGACTCATCTTCAGCTTCTAATTGCGATTGAGGCTACAAAGAGAACAAAATTAGTTCCGAATTCAATTTTATGCACACTTACTTCAACACCGAAGACGTCACCATACAATGGCTTTCCATAATCATCAACTGGAGGCTTACCCCATCCTCCAGCATGATAACCGAAAGCGCAACCTTCAGGAATTGGTGCATTCAAACCAGGAACTTTCAAGTTAGGGTAGCTTGGTGGAGGACCATATCTTTGCATAGCAATGAGCCAAGGAGGAGGGAACTTATGTGAATTTGGTCCAACAGGCATACCCAATGCAATACGTAACTCATCAGACAAATGCCCAGGCTTCTTATCCTTCATAATTCCTTCTATTTCCTATACGACGTCAATGATAAAATGGAATAAAGATGAATCTTACTTTTCCCTCATAATATAACTCTCCCATGCTAGTCATGAGAGGCTTGGTCTGCCATTTAAAGAAGGCATCGTGTAACTTCTGATAATCGATATTAATTTTTCCAAGTTTTGGTCTGGCTCTCTCTCGCATTTTAGATTTCAAGCTCTGATGATCTTCCTGAAAAAGATAAACAAAGTAAGACAACTACTTCCCACATGCAGACCTTCTCCCAGAGAGATTCTCTCATCTCCTGAATACCTGTCCTTCTAATGAAATCAGGAAGTTGGAAAGGTGGTCTTTCAAATCCTCTTTTACCAGCAAGATACCTGAGAGACGAATATATATGAGAACAAAAAAATGTCTTACTTCCTCTTTGAATTCCAATGTCTTGGGACTGGAACGGTGTTTCGAATAGATTTGAGATGGACTAAAAGGAAAGGATCGCGAGAAGTAACATCAGCCCATTCAACAACGTCGGGACGAGTAGTAGATTCTTTAAGTTTAGCAACGCTGGGTTGCATGGCTAATCTAAGCTTTCTCCTGGACATTTTTTGTAAATCTGTTTCATCATTCTTTTCCTAAACAAATTTTCTTTTGAAACAGAACAGAATATGAAACATACTGTGAACTCTTCAGCTAATATTTTATCGAGAGTTGGTCTTTGGGAATCATCAATCTTAGAGAAACGGAAAGTTTCTTTCTTCTCATCTATGGCATCAACCTATGAGAATCAATGTAAAGAGCAATAAATATTTCAATTTACCGTAAAGGAATTGAACACACTGGAGAAATACTTGAAATTCGGATCTGTGTCGTCCATCACAGGAGATTCTCCTACATAATCAATCTCAACTGCAAGATCATCCTAGAAACCAATAAAATGAAATACAAAATTAGTTGAAATGAACAACATCATCTTCTTCTTCTACTTTGGTTGCTATGTCCATGGCATCGCCATCGGTCTCAGGCTTTTCTTCCTTATCCTCAGACTGTGAGTCTACTCCAGACTCTTTAAGATTGCCATCAGATTCTGTTCTTGGTTCTCTTTTCTTCTTTGATAACTTCTTCTTTTTATTTTTCAAACGCCGTCTCTCAATTTCCTTCAAAATTTTCATATACTCAAACGTGAAACTGATTGCGTACCTGTAACTGCTTCTTTGAAAGAGGCCCCTTATCCTCATCTGAACTGAACCCTTCATCAATCTGTGTCATTTTCACAGAATTCAATTAAACCTGTAACAAAAAAGCATGAATAATTTTAAATTTGAATTAATTTGAAGTTTTATTTCAATATGGAAGCGGAGACAAGCAGAAAGTAGAGTTATTCTGCGTCTTCCGTGCGAGACCATTTTATGCAAAACCTTTAATATTTTGCAATGAACGAAACCTGGCTATTGACATTCACTGTGAGATTTCTGTTATAATTTCATTGAAGACTTTTCATATTTATTTCCGAATGTAAAATAATGAAACCTATTGGATTGTTCGTAGCAGTAATACAATGAAGTGAGTACAGTATAAACTGTTTTCGGTCAAAGTTACAGTTTAGTTTCCAACGTCTTCTTGTTTTCTTTTGAAAAGAATATGTTCTCCTTCTTTCACGTACGGGTTTGATCATATATTGTGTTTATTAGAGGCTGATCGGACACATTATACATACTTATATCATCCACGATATTTGGTTATGTTTCGCTCTTGGAGAGTAGATGAGGTTCTCAAAATCATTTTTACATTTTGGTTCTCTTTCTGTGAAAGTGATGTTTAGAAAATTAGAGGTCATTCCAGAATTCTTATAATAATACAGTTTTGAGAGAACATATAACAATAGAAACTTCTGCGTGGGGGAAATGATAGCGTTCATATCCGATCGACCACGACCGTGCTAGCGATGCATTAGCAGTGGAATGAAAGTTCGGAAACTTCTCTGAAGTTCATACACCAAAGTTTTCATTTGTGCTCCTTATTTTTATTCTTCAATAACGAACAAATGAGCGGTCGTGCATTCGCAAGCAATAGAGTGTCAGCTGATGAAAAGTTGTGACTTCCTATAGCTCAGATACATGACGTTGTATGGTCAACTTGTAATCAAGGTAGACTGATGATTTTATCAGAACGTATCAAGACATGTAATAACTATATATTCTCGTTTATTCATTGTGAAAACATGATAATTATTAGAATTTTTCGAATGTGGATCATTGCATATACCTGTCTTGATAGAAATCATGAGTAGTTGAAAGCTCCGTTGTAGAAATCGTTTTAAATGCAACTATTCAGTGCCTAATCATCGAAGTCTCGATTTGGTTGATGATTTCTTTCACTTCTTTCTGATAAACTTTTTTTTTCTTCTTCGGGGGATAATGGAACGAGAGTGGTGCCAAAATCAGAATCTCCTTCACACATAAACGACAATCTGCTGGTTTTACGCTTCCGCAAACTGTCCTGATCAGTAAGAGGGGAGAGATCTGATAACCCCAAGGATTTCTGCAAAATTGTGTGAAACATGGTTGAGAAATTTTTTCTTACTCTCTGTTCTTGGTCATCGTAGTATCTCCATAAGGCTAAAACCAAATCTGATCCGAATATTATCCCCGCATGGGAAGATACCATTCGAAGTACGAAAACACCATCGCGACGAAGATATTTAGTGACGAATCGTTTTACATTTAGTGCATCTCCTGAGTTACTCTTATTGAAAATGGATCTCATTATAGAACTTACTATGACTATTTGGATTGAAATTTTCCAAGGCACTGAGTTGCAAATGCTGATTGATGAACCATCGGGGGAAACATGGAAGGACAAGTACAGCAAACCATTGAACAAAGGTTATCAAGGCACATACGAAGATCATCGAATACCTTAAACACGATAATGAAATGAAACGAAAGAGGTTTTAATCTGCTCTGATAACAAAGCATCTGTTTCTATTTCGAACTTACCAAAACCACAAGAGAACAAATATCTTTTCGTTGAAAATGTTGATAACCAGTACACATTGAACGGAATACTTTTGAATGTTAGCAACTTGGCGAACCTTCAATTTCATTTTCAAGGCTTTACATGTATCAGATCTTCACCTCGAAATCACAAACCGCAGCTCTGGGAAAGTAACCACTGGTTTCCCAGTTTGTTCCATTGATAAGACTTTTCACTACTCCATAACCATACCATTCATTCGAGTTTGTTTTGAGGAAACTGAAGCAAATAGGTATTAACCAACATCTCAATGGGACCTACGTGTTCATCAACCACAGCTGGAACACCACATTAACCAAATAAAAAACTTTGGTTATCAAATAAACAGTAGAGATGAACGAGGATGAATATTGAAAATTGAGGAATCGAAAAGTGCGATGAACAACAACCTATTAAGGGAACATATCAAAGATATAGAAGTATAAGTAGACTCACCCCGTTTCTCTCAATTCTGTTCTGAAAACGGAGAGCATTTTTCATGTGTCTGACGAGTACGTTGACATTTTTTTCTTTCACATCTTCTTCAACATTAGCAGAATCCCTAGCTCTTTCAACAACTTCGTGAATTCTGATACCTAAACGAAGCTGACGCTGTTTTTAGCAGAATCTTCTTTATCACCTGTTGTATTGCAAAAATACTTCCAAAAAATACTTGGAGCTCGAAAGAAGGCGGCTTGCAGTAAAAGGAAAAACGGAACCCATTGGTAGTAAGACAGTTGTCTCTCTCGGGAATAACGATTCCTACAAAGAAATTAAAGAAAATAAATGGGATATTATAGAAGAAATCGAACTCGGTTTCTAATAGTTCTACATGTTGTTGTTTCTCCACGAAATAGGTGTCCTGTGACCAGCAATAGTTTTCCGCATACTGCAAAGTACCAAATAAGAAAGTGATATATTACTGTGATTGTTGAAAGGCCGTACTTGCTCCCAACTTCCAGGAAACTTATTAGGGAACATGCATTCGATAGGTCGACCACCAAATTGCTTGAAAGATATCAAAACGGAAAAAGCCAGAAGTATGTTTGGAGTGAACATGTAGTGTAAACGATCACTCCAATCATCATCATATCTAGGCATTAGGTATTTGGCCATGCCGATGAATGTCTCAATCATGACCATCTTTCTTCTAAGAAAAGCAATAATAATTAAGTAGGAACAAGCATATTAAGATTGAAAATGAGAAACGTCAAATGTTATTTGGAGGAGAATGTTTAAGAGGAAAAAAAAATGTTGTAAGTCGTTAAACAAATAGAAAATCACAGAAATCAAATACTGTTTTTTGACGTAAAGAGAGTAGGCGAATGAAATCGTCAGAATAATTTTCCATATACGGCCAGATTGTTATTTCTGTCATTTAAACGTGAATAGCCGAGATTCAGAAGAGAGCAGATTAGATTGATTGAATATTCACTAATCGATAGTTATTAACTGCATGTGATTTTTGATGGAAATGTAGAAGAAAAGAGAAATTAATTCTTTGATTATAAAATTGAAATGTCAGGTGTTAAATGGTGATGACAGCTGGAACAATAGGTTTTGAGGATGAGATGGAGATGTTCAATGCGAAAAAAAGAGAGAAAAGGATTTTAAAAGTTGCATACAAGTAGATGGCAATGGCTGATATTCATATGAAATCAATTGTTGTTCAAAGAAATGATTGAAACTGAATGGAAATGAATCGATTTGACATTGGTATTGAAAAGACATTTCTTCTTGTTCTTCTTCTTTCTCCAAACAAATCAGATGATTTGAACATGTTTTTTTTGTTTTTTTTTTCTGGCAGGAAGCGTTTAGGATAGAGGGGATCAGGAGGCGTGGGAGAAAGGGGGATTTCATTAGGAAATTACAGATAAAATCAGAAAAAAAGTTTGTATTGTGATGTGAATATGATAGAAATACAAGACAAATATTGGTGATCTGACTGTTGAAGAGGGGTTTCGAAGACTTTCTGGTCATTATCATCCCCCTCTCAATCATATTTACTTTTGACCATTCTCACGTTTGGAATTTACCTTCTCTCCCTTCTACTTGCCAGATATGTTCTTTGTTCTCGAAAATAAAAATAAATAACCTGTGCCCAAGATCCTGGAAAAGAACCAGGAGTAATACATTCAATTGGTGACGCGGCAAACGTCTTCAAAGCCGTCAGAACTGTAAACGCATACAAAATATTTGTCGTCACATAATAGGAAAGGGCATCTGAATAATCGCCATCTCGACGATTTCGAAAAGTTCGAATTGCATGGAACAGGCTTTCGATTGCCATTTCTAACTGAAATTATAAGAGTTTTGTCCTTATTAATAGCAAAATAGGAATCAATGGAAAGGTTTTTTGTTATCTGATGGAATGAGGAGAGAAGAAGAAAGAAAAAACGGTTGGAAGAGATAAAGAAAGTTGTGGTGCTGTCACTAACAAGGTCAATCTATGTATCCAATGGGGGGGGGGGGAGCAGAAGATGGTGGCTATGAAAGTTTGGAGTGCTTTGTCAACTTCATCTTCTAATAAGGTAAGTGCTAGTTGGCGGAAGGGATTAAGCCTAACAAGTGCACCGGAAGTGATTACCATACTCAGTATATTCGTTTACTGCTTGCAGATAGATGTTAATAGTAAAGATGTTGCAAAGAGAGTGCAAACGAGAATTTTTAAAGAGAGAAAAGGGTAATCATTCGATACATCAACTTCTTGAGAATGTTTCATCCAAATAAATCTTTGAATAATAAGAAAATGGCAGAAGATGCAAACTGGTTCTGACAGTCACTTTTCATGAAATAATCTCCAAGTACGTGAATGAAAAGGAAAAGAAAAAAAAGATTTCTTATTCTTATTGATTCAGAGGAGTTTCTTGTATTTTGAAAGTTATTCTTCGGTTTTCCTGTATTTGCTTTTTTTCGTCTTCTCATAAGGTGCAAAGCAAATTGTGAATTGCTGCGATGATTGGAAGCACAAGCAGAAGAAGACGAAGAAGAAGACGAATAAGAAGAAGAAGAAGCTGCTGCTCATCAAGGAACACAAAACTGTTTATGAAATAGTTTGATTTTCAAATAAACTATAACAATATACAATAGGAAAACCGTAAAAAATAATTATTTTTTTGTGCTCTTTCTCCCAAAAACTACAGCGAGAACGAGTGCTGTATTGTGATCAGCTTGATAGATAGATAGAAGAATCTATTTCATTTCCCTTATTTAGCTGTTCAAACACATCTGATATTTGTCCTTTTTGAGCTTCAAGTTTATTCAAAATTATTATAAGCTTAAATGAAATTTGGATGTTTTGTTGAAGAAAATTTATGTTTTTTGAACTCAACATGAAGCCATGTCGTCATGGCTTCATGTAAATTACAAGTGTTATTCACATATTCTCTTTTATAGTTTATAATTTCGTTTTTTCTATCAAAGCAGGAGGCAGTGCTGTTGCTCCTCCACTCTCTGTATCTCCCTCACTTCTTGTTTCTTCTGTGATATTTCAGTAAGAAAAGAAAATAACATTTCATTTCATTTTTCAAATGAAAACATGTCATAAGTATGTCAAACTAAATTCCTTTTTTATTTTTGTTTCATTTAAATTAAAAAGTTTTATGCAAGTCTCAAAGGCTGTATTTCTTCAGCGAAAATCATCGTCATGTTTGTTTTATGTTGATTTGTTCGAAAGTAAAGTTTGAGATGGTGAAATGGCTCCAGAAATCCCTTGTGGATACAATAAATCAACTTCTTGTACATTGAAAAGACTTTAATGACTTGATCGCATTCTGTCTTTCATAATGTTCTCAGATAGTTTTTTGTGATGCACATGGAGCTTTCATGGTCATCAGCTTTCTTATCGGCTCATTCATCTAGACTCAACAACTCAGAAATAAGAATATTTCTCTGTTTTCATTTGTCGTTTTCATCTCTTTGCTCTCCATTAACATCTAAGCTGCAGCTTTCCTTCTTCTCTATTCTTATTGTTTTTATTATTCGTTATATAAGTAATGCTTTTTTTTTCTTTTTTTTTGTTCTTTCTCTCAAGTACAGTATCTGCTGATTTGAATACGGTTAATGCGTTAGGAGCCTTTCAGTCCAAAATTAGAATATTTGACGTCATTCACGTGAACGATTCTTTTCATTTTACAGCTTTCAGACGAGAGATTCGGTTGCTTTTCCAATAGTTCACAATTTCAGCTTTTAAACAAATGCATTGAAATATTGTAAAGAGAAGAAAATAGAAAAAACAACAAAAAGCCAGCTTTTCTCATTTCGTCTTAAAAAATTTGCATTTTGTAGAGACTTTGTGTATGTGTGACTGTTACGTTTCCTTTTATTTTTTCCATTTGCCTCTATATCAGTTTGTGTTGATTTTTCTCTCTCTTTATCTCTCATTTCCTCCCCCTCTTTTTCACTCCTTCTTACTGTCTCTCTCTCTCTCCCTCTGTTCATATTTCCCTCTCTGCCTTTTGCATTTCGTCTCTGTCTACCTGCACATGTGATGGTAACGTGCGTGCCATACGTGATCACACGTACAACTTTGATGTTTTATGTAAAACGAATGGTTGAATTACATAAAATGTGAAAATTATATACTATGTACATAGAAAATGTTATATTTAAGACAGAAATAGCTATCGTCAAATTCATATTCGTTTAGAGATAGAAATGCCATTTGGAACTTCCCAAGAATCATCTTCATGAGAATGTTTCCAATACGGTTCATCTGACTAGCATAGTTAACAAGGTGCTTTTGTTTATTCAATCTATCTCATATCTCTATATATACATATTGTGTGTGTGTGTGTGTGTGTGGGGTCTGTTTTTAGCTTCATCTTGAACAGTTATCCTTCGATATACTGTAATGTTGTATTCTGTAATATACGTATATCATCTAACTATGCGAGCTTAATGAGGTCCTGCATGGATTGAAATTTCTTTTTTCCGTTCACTATCTGTTTTCATATCCATTCTTTCTCCTTCCCTTTTTTGTTCATCGAAAAGAAGAAAAGGAAGGAAATATTCTTTTGGCACGTTTTGCACGTAAATAGAAGCAGAATCCACGGTTATGAGACGATGATTCGTTTGAATTAACAAATGAGTGTGTCTGTGTGTGTGTGTCTGTGTGTGTGTGTGTGTGTGTGTGTGCAACTGACTAGAATACAAAGAAATAGAGTTCAAGATTCGCTTCATCATCATCTTCATGAACTTCTCCTCTTCTTTTCCTTTTTTTGTTTTATTCACATTTAGAGAAGCAAAAAGATATTTCTTGAAGAAACAATAATGTTAAATCTCATCTGTTTTACAGAAATTTGAGAGTTTTCGTGTAACGAAATGGTATTGTCCTGAAATTTGAGAGCTTAGGTGCGAAGTTGACAGACTTTGACACATTCAAGCTTTCATCAGATGTTGATTATGCTTTCGTCGCATATACTCAAAATGTACAAAGATGAGACAAACAATCAAAGAAAAAAAATTTTTCAACAAAAAAAGATTTTTGAATGAGAGCGAACGAATGAAAGTATAGAAAAATATTTTTATTTAATTATATTTTTTATATTTCGTCGTTTTACCGAGTTTTAATGTGCAAAAATAGCAAAAAAAATTTGTTTTACTTGTGCATTCTTGACGATGAATCAAGTATCCTGTGCAATCTACTGGAATGTTCAGAAGCATCCGCTTACTTCTCAGAATGCTTAATCGAGCAGAGAAACAGTTGAGAGAGATTGAGGATTGGAAAGATTTCAAAAAAGAGATAAAGAAAACTGGAGAGAGACTAGTACTTGGAGAGAGGGAGAAAACGAGGGAGAGAGGGATAGAGAGAAAGAGAGGGAGGGAGAAAGATAAAGTAGGAGTAGGGGGAAGCCTGAAAGAAATGATGTCGTTGCCTACGGCCATGCAATTTTTCAATGAAACCTTTGAGATTGAGGAATTTGAAAAGTTTGTAGAATTCAAACGAAATTCCTCTTTCGTCTCTCCTATTTTTGTCTTTTCTTTTCGTCTGTGTGATTAAATGCATTTTTCTCTTTTAACTTGTTCAATCTGAATGAGTAAAAAGAAGAAAGAGAAAGGTGAGGATCAGTCAAACATTGTCTGACAAGTGCTCCCTTCGGTCTTCATATTTCTGCGTTGATCTCTTCATATTTCATTATATT